AGAGAGAGGTGAGATGGGCGAGCGACCCACACAGAACAGGCACTGTATGTAAAGCTAACACGCGCCACTCTGTCTGGGCAACGCTGCACATTTAGACGAGTGCAGTCAAACACGTAGCTACGCCCTGGCGCAAACAGAACTCCTACTGATTATACGGCCAACAGGTTTTATAAACACATCTTATTTACACCTGTTGGCCAAACAGGAGCGAACACATTCAAACATTCACATGAGCAGACGCACACATTCCTGGACATACAGCCGCACACACATGTAGGATTAATATGCAGCGGCCTTGATAATGTAATTGAACAAACACCACATACATGTGCGTAAACATGTGCAACCGCACATGGAGCAATATTCATGCAGGGCTGCAATAACACACACACACACACACTGTAGTGATGAAGGCACTCGCTGTATAGGTTGATAAAGGAGCTATTTACCGTGTGTGTTTTCATGGCCGGGTTCCACAGGAAGGTAAAAAACAAACTAAATGCCAAGTGTGTTCCGGCTCAGAGACGTTCACCTCACATGAAATGACTCCTGCACAGTGAAGGTGATGATGTTTCTAGAAAAACCAGGATTTTCATAAGTGAGACGCGATCCAACCAACACTCATTCCAGTTGGTGTTTAATAATGAATAGTGAATTTGTAGTGAATGAATGAGAGTCAGGCTGAGTACGAAGAATCATTTCAGAGTTGGTTGATTCCAAGTTTTATTTGGTCCAGCACAGCACAGGTAAACTGCATGTTCACATCAAGATTCGGGATCTGGACAAAATCACGACAGGGATTGTCTCTGTGCAGGGTTGTGCACGTTGTCATCCGTTTAAATATAGTTCAAATCTCCAATGTTGACATTAAATTAAACATTCAGGAATGTCTAAAATTCCGGCCTCAAAGGTGTTAAATTATTTATTTGAATTTCAAAACACACGTTCTGCCAATTCAGGGAATATGTTTTTTTTGGACTGATGTTTTCATTTATTTTTTATTCTCTTGACCTTTGAAAAGGTCATGGTCAACATTATTCGTTACCTGCTGATCTCGCTCAACTTTTATCTCCACTCTTATTATTAATAAGGACATTCCACCACTGCAACAGCTCTTCTCAAATGATGTTCAGTCTTAAAAACATTTCTGCAGAAACACCAGGCAGAATGTTGAGGCTCAAACTGATCCTTCCACCTTTGCCTTTTGTTTTTTCTTTCCTTCTTCTTTTTTTTTTTTTTCCGTCTTCTCTGCACCAACTCCAGGCCCAGGTCATAGATAATTCATAACTGTAGCTTCACAGTTTTTACTAACACATCAACAAACAGGTTAACAGTTAAGTTATAGGATTGAAGTATATGTGCTGTTTGTTAACAGATCCTGCTGTTTTAATGAAATTGTGAGAACATTTATAGTAAGAAACTCATCACTCAAATGTCTGTGTCTGACAGAGTTGACAAAGATCATGAATCCCTCTTGAGTTGCTAAAAAAAAAAAGAAATTCTAATCTAGGATCTTTTGCATCATGAAACAATCCAGTGAAACAGAGTTGAGCACCATCCAGCCAGCTACTTCAGTGTCTTACTATTGATCTCACATCTTACCTTAGTCAAGCTTCCCTTTTCTGCCAACTACCAAATAATTAATTTTTTTAGGATTTTTTTTTTTTATATTCATATATATTCGTACCATTGTTGTGAAACTCTCTAAAGTGCACTGGATCCAGGTGAATAGCACAGATGTAACTGCTGAATCCTAAAAGTGCATGAGTGCTGATTATTTTTAATCCAGCTCTGTTACCGTAACTGGGAGCCCTTCATGGACTTTTATTCATTATTGAATGGAACAGCACAATCGTCCTAAGTTTACAAAACACTGGAACATTTCAGTGTTTCCTGGGAATTGGAGTAAATTCACACAGGAGTTCATGTAATAAAGCAAAATAAATAGGTGATTTTTGGTGATATTACTGGAATAAATGTGTGTGAATTTAGATATTCAATTTTTACCAGAACATACTGCAACAACTGTATTTAAAAATATTAATATTAATAATAAATGCTAAATATAAGTTTGACAACACAATTACCATGGAGCTTTAGAGAGACTTGGCTGCCATTGTGCTACACATCTTAGCCGTTAGCACGACAACCTAACTTTTCATGGGAAGTGTGAAGATTCACTGTAAATTTTCCAGCCCTTTGCGTTCTTAGAGCCATCAGTTCACGGTGGTTCTCAAACCAGAGGTTGTGACAACACAGTATGGCTCTCCTAAAGCATTATTTATCACACAAATATTTGTATTTTTTCCCCTCTTTTGAACCTTTAGCTACATTGAAATAATGTAGATTCTGCAATAACTTGTGGAATCACAACTAATAAATTTGGGAATCACCGTCCTGCCCTGTGACTGTTTCACCAGTCTCAAGATCACACATAAATTAAAAAAAAAAAACACTAACAAGCACCGAACTAGAAAAATACTCTACAATAGCAAAAATCTATGTCTGACATAACAGAGACCTGTTGTAACTGAAAAAACCTTGGACTGTTTTGGACATTGTTTGTGTGTCACTCAGACTTCAACCAACCGTGGAAAGTGTCAGTCGCTAAATGGGGATCGTTCTTTCAAAGAAACCACCTCAAAAAACGTAAATAGTGTAAATCAGACAATCGTCAACAGAAAGGGGGGGTAGAGTGACACACAAACAACCAAAACTTTATTAAATGTTGCTATTTAGTCTGGTCTAAATGTGCTTTAGTATGTGTGTATATACATGGGATGGAATGTTATCTTTTTGGTCGGGCATTTGCATTGGTGTCCATGCTCCTTTAAAAAGGGGTCCTTTCTGGCTCTTGCATGTCCTTTTCTGTGCTGCTCAGAGTAACTTCCTCTGTTCCTGTTGGCGTCTGACCACTGCACGTCTTCTCCTGACGGACCTTTTGTGTAGTCTGTTACTGTTGGCGTCAGCTGGGGAAGAAAAAGGTACGCATACTGATGATGTCATGTAAACATGAGTGGCCAAAGAGTGGATATAAATTAGCAGGAAGTGATTGGTGAGGCTAAAGGTTCTGCTTAGAATACAAAGAGCTTGGTACAAAATATTACCCACATTGCCAAACTTTGTTCTACTTTTACACACCTGTGAGTAGCTTACAGATTAAACACTATTTAATTATCAATTAATTAATTTAATTATGGCATAAAAAGTTTCTGTTTGATCAAAACCTTGTCATGAATGTTATTAAAAATGAAATTTCTGTGAGCTCACCTGTGCATTCCACTTGTGGCTCCCCCCACTGTCCATCTGGCAAACAGTGTATAACAGATAGGTGGCGCTGTGTGTAGCCTGCATCACACTGATAGCGAACTATAGAGTTGACAGGGTAGCGATCTTTGCTTCCGCCCATCGGCCGTGCATGTTCCACCACAGGGGGAGCTCCGCACATGACTGAAATGTGCAGACAATTGTATATAATTGTTATATATTATTTTTATTTAATATTAAATATAACTAACATGTTACTGTCACTCACTTATTTTGATTGGTTGTTCAATTTAAAATCTTACTCTAAATCATTGTTCTACCTATGAGATATAACAGCAGCGAAAGAATGAATTCCTGTTTCTAAGTCGGCACATACCTGGTCCAGTTTTGCATGTAAAGGGAAGGTGGTAATTGCAGGGCACATCATTCCACTGTCCTCCCTCGTGCCAGATCATCACCACACAGTCCTCCTCAGAGTTGAAGTAGTTATCTGGCTGGTTGGGCCTCCAGTTCACAAAGCTCTGAGCAGAGGTCGTTACAGTACATCGGTTAAGTAGGTGATCAGAAAAACGAAGCAGCTAAATTCCGGCTATTTTTTTCTCTAGCTAATGATAGACTAAGGCTAACAATTCCTGACCAAACTCACCAGAGGACTTCCGTCTGTCCAGTGGAACTCATTCTGCACATCTTTGTCGTTGAGTCCAATCCATTGGTAGTCTTGTCCGTTTGCTATGTCACAGAGAGAAACTGAACTCAGCTTTAAAACAAAGGAGGCAGTTTGAACATTTCTGTGCTAGTTCCTGCGATTTTCTAGAAACATTTTCCATTCTGTTTGTGTAATAAATTCTTTTCTGTTCACTGAGAATTCTAGAAACTCTAGAAATAAAAACAGTGCAGACCTCATGACAAACCAAAGAGATAATCATTATAAAGTAGGTATGTGAGAAATAGCTAGATGTTAGCCATAAACGGTCCAAGATAAAGATACAATAGCTAGATGTTAGCCATAAACGGTCTAAGATAAAGATAAGAGTTAGCATTCAACCAAAACACAGGTATTTTTATGAGAACAATGTATTTTTTGTGGACAATAAAAGATAAGAGCAAAATTAACACAAATTTAAATAGAACTCAAGAGTGATAATTCCAACTAGCGATCACTAAAAAGATACTCACAGTTGACAAACTGCTGCTCTTCCTGGGAGCTGATGCTAACCAGATGAGCGTTTAGCTCCTGACAGCGCTGCTCTGCGTCCGTCCAGGTATATCTCTCTGCAAAGTGAAGGTAGCAGCTGCCCCTGAAATCCAACCAGCCTTCAGCACAGCCCTGCAGCGCTACAACACCCAAGACATTTGTTAATATAACATACTGTATTATGCTGTTGAAGTCACTGTGATAAACATGGTAGGAAAAACTTCTAGTTTGGTGCATGGCGACTTACGTTCTGAGCAATCTTCACCGGTGAAACCGTTGGGACACTCGCATACAGCAATCTCTGCCTGCACCGAACATTTTCCCGAACCACAGGGGTTTGGATCACAAGGGTCTGACAGCAAATGTCAACATATGTTAAGGTTTATGCAGTTTATTTATCAAAACAAATGAATTATTTAAATAAAACATCTAAATCTTAAATACCTTCTACTACTTCAGGCTCCTTCATAACAGAAGGACTTGGTAATGACACCGATGGTACTGTGGTGGGGAAGGTGTAGTCTGGGTCAGGGGTCACTACAATGACTGCGTCAGTCACTTGTTCCACCTCCCCAAGTCCTGATTGCCTTAGATTAGCGATGTAGCCACTGTGGGACACTGTTGATTCAGGCGGCAGGACAACTGACAGGCCGTCAGTTCTCACTTCCTCAGGACTGACTTCAATCCCTGAAATATGAAAGCTTTGATCCGAGGTACTGCTGAATTCAAGGTGGATCCCTGAGCCGCTCCCTGACCCACTTACTTCCACCACCCCTCTGCCTTGCTCAGGTTGACGTTCTAGTGGTGACCCGGTTACTTCAATCATCTCCTCATCTGTTATGAAGACGATGCTACCGCTGTGCTGGGAAGCATCTCCGGAGGCAGAACCACTGCCTGATTCACCAGACACAAACCCGCTTGGAAGGCCGCTGTGGAACCCTGAGCCATAGGGTCGATATCCAGACAGCTCCTGCTCACCCGACGGCTCAGCTGTCAGGTCAATACCGCTGTGGTCAATAAATGAGATGCCAGAAAGTTCTCCAGAGGCTGACCCAGAGGCACTTGCTGATCCAGATGCACCAGATGCACTAAATTCAATTATTTCCACACCCTCCTTTCCCAGCAGCTGCTCGTCAGGTTTCCTGTGTGTTGTTGGGACTTTCACCATCTTTCCATCCACCATGATGATCACCAGTTCTCCACTGCCACTAAGGTCTCCACTGGCACTAAGGTCTCCACTTCCACTTATGGCTCCGCTACCACTCGCGATCCCACTTCCACTTGTCTCGCCCATTCCACTGATGTCCCCACTTCCAGTGATGTCCCCACTTCCACTGATGTCCCTTCCACTGATGTCCCCACTTCCAGCTTCCACTGATGTCCCCACTTCCAGTGATGTCCCCACTTCCACTGATGTCCCCACTTCCACTGGTAAAGCCCGATCCTGATACCCCAAAGCCAGATTGCTGCCCATCGATCACCTCCCCTGATCCTGAAGCAGAACCAGAAACATCTCCTGAGAAGATGACACGTCCTCCCTCTACCTCCTCGGGAATTCCAGAAGCCGAGCTGTCTCCAGAGATGATGCTAGTGTTTCCAATAAAGCTGATACCCTGTCCTGAACCAGAGATGTCACCACTGGCACTGGCACCAGACTCTACTGGCTCCCCACTGGCTGAGGGCTCCCCACTGGCTGAGGGTTCCCCACTGGCTGAGGGTTCCCCACTGGCTGAGTGATCAGCTGAACCAGAACCTGATGTGTCAACAGGAGTGGGGGCTAATGAAGGAGTCGCTGCAAAAAATAGAAATTGCAGTTTTTTTTAATACAGCGTTTAAAAAGAAAGATATAATTTCCTCTAGGTCTAAGCAGTTTAACAGTCGTCATGAAATAAGGCCGCCAAAGGGACTGATATTTAAATTGTGCTGATGGTGAAAAGATCTCTGATGTCTTTACTCAGAAACTTCATAGATTTTTGCAGCAGGTTAGGCCTTATTTTGTATGAAGCCTGCTGTCACAATGGTTTTGAACAAAAATGATGGGTATAACATGAAGAGGCAAATAAATTATTTATTGGTTTATCAGCATACAAAGTTTTTTTTTTTGCCTTTTGCAAAATAAGGATTAGAGTCCTTTATCCATTTTTACAGCATTTTCAGAAAATCTAAAAACACAGTTCTTAATAGCAGGGACAGTTTCCATTCACATCAGTGTCTCTCTGTGCCTTACCAGGAGTAACCGGGCGTAGGACAATGGTGATGGTTGTCTTGTTAATAAACTCCTCAGTGTCAGTAATGTTTTCTCCAGACACAGTTTCATTGTAGACTACTGTTGTTTCTGAAAACATGACACAAACAAGGTCAGAAATACAACAAGAGTATTTTACCAAGCACAATGTGTATTTAGTTGAAATATTGTGATGCTATTTATTGCACTTTGCGCAGTACAAAATATGAGACACAGTACGCAAACAATAAGAAAACAACTACATTTTTTTTCATATTTACCAATGGGTGGTAACTGGTCAACTGTCACTACTGTCTTAATGATGACCTCCTCAGTCACTTCTGTCTGATTTACACTGGTTTCATTTTCAATGTGAACAACTGGAATTTCAACTGAACCTAGAAAAGGATCAAATATTCAAAGCATGGTTACTTTAATTTTGATGAACATTTATTGTTATTTATCACAAATCATTAATGATTAATGATGATAATCATTGTGTCTAATTATGTCTTACCTTTGAAACAGTATGCGTCATAGCGCGAGTGCTCATCAGGGAATCCTGTCTGGTTGGGGAAGGCATAAATGATGTGAACTCCCACCTGGCCTCCTCCACAGTGAGACCTGGGAGTTGTAATAGGATAGCGAACGCTGCGGTCCAAAAGCCAGCCTGGACGACACTTGTCCAGGCCTTGGTTCCAGGCAGCGTACAGCTGGCCTGTGGTGGCCAGGGTGGTGTTGAGTTTCTGACAATGCTGCACAGCCTCCTCGTAAGAGAAGCTGTCATAGTCACTGGTGAAGAAGACCTCCCCTGAGAGAAAGTAGAAAACAAACATTAAAATAAGAGTAAACAGGTCAACAATTAACTTATTATTATACATTTGTCAGTTTGTTCACCTTGTAAACTTTCTACATAACAAAAGACATCATATTGTTCACTGGCTGGTCTCAGGCCGTAGGATCTGACTCCTGGAAGGCCGTGAAGATTTCCTGCACAATTATCTCTGGGTGACACAATTGGATACCTGATCAAAAAATAACAGCACATATTAGGATGTGTATATATTCAAAATGACTGGCTGAAGAGCAATAACTAAAACAAGATATTTTCTCTACAGTGGTGAGTGGTTAATTTTGAACGTTGGTTCACCTAACAGTCTGGTCACGGAGCCAGCCAGCATCACATTGATGCAGGCCTTTCTCAAAGGCTGCGTGCAGCTGCTGGCCACTTGCGATGACTGCCCCGATACTCTTGCAGGCCTCCTGAGCCTCCACAAAGGTCAGAGTGTATCGACCGGTGATGGGTCGGTAGTGGAAAACAACACCTGGAGTATGGAAAGAGGGTGGGAGTGTATTGTGAGTTTTTGAGTTTTTATTATATTGTCATACATCATACAGTCCTTGTTTATGTATTCACCTGTCACTTAATGATTTCATTTTGTTATTGGTTTTGGGAGACATTTAGTACGTTCTGTCTGTACAGTATGTGATAGGCAGAGAACATAATGGTAAATGTAATGTTTAAACTAACATTAAGATACAGTTGCAAACCTTTACACACAGAAGCACATAAAGAGCAATACAATTCCACAAAAATGACTGTTAATTAATGTGGCTGTGCTTAGATTAGTCTTCACCCAAACTGTTTGGACATTTGTAAACATTTCACTCCAGTGAGTTTAACTTTTAACATAATTTTTTTCTAATCTTCCCTCACTGACTTTGATTTTTATTATCAGTTTAAAGTATGAAGAAACCGTCTCCTTTATATCAAACCCAACAGGCAAAAGTAAACTCTACTGTAGTAGGTTTACATTAAACATATTAACAAATAAAGTTATTTGTAGTTAGTGACCTTTGGGACCCATTGGAGCATCAATTTCTGTCATACTCGGAGGAACAGGTAGTGGAGTCAGGATGTCCACCTCCCCACCCCTGATCTCTTCACCCCCAGGGGTTGGAGTGATGCTAGGTAATACCCCAGGAGCAGGGGTTATTCGAATGATGTCAGGGAAAGGCGTGGTCCTTCCAGGCACTACATTCTCATCATCACCGTCTAAGGATAAAAAGAGGATTAAAAATGACCAATTCACAGCCTGGTTAGTCAATAGATGCATAAGAAGTCCACACTTAAATCATTTTCACTTATAATGTGAACCTCGGTAGCAGATGGCATCGTAGCGAGTGTCTAGGTACGGATATCCTGTCTGGTTGACGTGCAGATAGACAGTTCTCACTCCCAGAAGACCCCCTCCACACTGAGGCCTGGCAATGTTAATGGGATAGCGCACACTTTGGTCAGCCAGCCAGCCAGCATTACACACATCCATACCACCTTTCCAGGCCAGGTAAAGTTCTCCAGTAGTAGCCAGTCGGGCACCAAGTTTACCACACTGATCTTTTGCTTCATAGAAAGTGAACTTCTCCACTGACATGGAGTAGAAGACTCTGCCTGAGGGGAGACAACACATTTGCAACAGGGAATAATTGGATATGAAGTCCAGTTTACAGATGTTCTCCGTGTTGTGTTCCTTTGCTGCCATTGTAAGATGAAAGTACCTGACATCTTCTCGGCAAAGCAGTACACGTCATAGGTCTCATTGACGTCTCTGACTCCATAAGTTCTCACACCTGGGAAGTTTTCCTTGTCTCCGTAGCAAGGTTCTCTGGGAAAGTGAATGGGGTACCTTAGGAAATGAAGTGACATATTGTTAGGAGATAGAAAGTCAACATTGGACAAATATTCAAAAGCTTGGGCACTGTGTGGTTTCAACTACCTAACGGTTTGATCAGAGAGCCACCCAGCATCACACTGGTGGTATCCATCATCATAGGCAGCCTGCAGCTGGGCGGGAGTAGCAATGGTGGCGCTGTTTTGGATACATGCAGCCTTGGCTTTCTCAAACGTCAGCGTGTAGCGGGTGGTAATGGCTCGGTAGTGGAACACGATACCTGTTAGATGAAGAAGACATCAGAAAGACTACCATTAAATATTCTGGTATTTGAAAACAACTCTGTATAAGTTTGAACATCTGTCTTCTATTACTACTTTTCTTGTGCAAAATTATTGCACAAAGTCTTGGCACTGATGGTTATACTTTTGGACACCTGGTCTGCCAAGCCCGTGCTGAGATAAACAGGAGCATGTCCCGGTGACCGACAAGTAAACCGTGGGGTAAGGAAGGTATTGGCACAGCTTGTTGGCAGCAGTCGCTGCTTTGGCAGCAGCATTGTGACAGGATGTTGTGAGCAGAGGATTGTGTTGTAAGTGCTGGATAAATTCTTATCCAGTTGTTTTGTTTTTAAGCTAACTGGTTAGTTAGTTAATAAGTAAAGGGCTGTCTTAGCTTCTGTTCCATACCTTGAACAAGGATTTCCACAGAGTCGTAGTTATCCTCGATGCCTTGCGTCACCTCGCAGCGATAGGTGCCAGAATCTTTGGTCCTCAGCTCTGTTATTTCTAGTGTGGCGTCTGTGGCCACCAGGGGGTAGTTGACCATTGTCACTCTGTCCAAATATTCTGCCTGTACCTGAACCTTTCCCTCTGATGCCACCAGAATGGTAGTGACTTTTTCCTTTGTGACGTAGGACCACTTGATGCGATGGGAGAGCGGTGGAACAGTTGGAGCACCAGGATCTTTGACCGTGTTATCTTGGAAGTAACATGGCACCACCACTTTGCCCCCCAGCAGTGGTCGAAGGGGCATCTCCAAGGGTATGCTCACTGTTAATGTGCTGTCCAAATCTGGGGAAGAGGTAGAGAATTTGACTTTCTTATTATTTTCCTCTTTTTATTATTTTACCTAAATGTATATATGTATATATATATGTATGTATATATGTATATATATATATATCATGTTTCCCAGGAGTTTACGAATAATGTCTATTGACTTGGGTCGCGAAAGATTGTGACTTTTAAAATATGGGTCCCCAGAAAAAAGGTTTGGGAAACACTGATTTAAACAATCTACAGTTTGCTTTAACCATTTAGCTTTTATTATAATTTGATTATAGAACTAAACAACACTAATTACTTATTGTTAAGTATTTGATTAAGTATGATATGATAACTATATACTTCAGTGATAAACTGTAGACATTTTATTACTTCTGCAGTCCATTTATTTTAGAGAATAATAGTCCAGATTCAAAGCAGAACTTTTAGTTGAAAGCTAATAGTTTGAGAGCCATGACCATGAAACTCAAGTTGAGTTCAAGTTGAAATAACCTGTGAACGACACTTAACCATATGTTGTCGCTGCATATTTGGGAAAGTGGTAAATTGGGAAACACTCACACTGTGCCAAAAATTTCCAAGGCAGTGGGATTAAAGACGGGTCAAATTAGTCGCATGGGGTTTAAGAAAATCAAAAAAGCTAAAGGTAAACCTTTATAAAAATAACTTTACCCTATTTTTACACCTACCTGCATGATCTTCAAATGTTGTTGCAGAGATGAGGGGCACGAACAAACACAGCAGAAGCAAAGAGGTCATTGTTACCTGAAAGAAGACAATTAAGGAAAAAAGGAATTAAGTTGACAGCCTGAAAACACAGGCGTGCTTGAAGGTACTGAAATAAAATGTGGTTTAGAGACAGTTGACCTTAAAGTCAGTACCAAGTGGCTATAATTTCCACAATTCCAGTATAAAAGTACAAAAACACACTGTAAAACTAAACAAGGGTCTCCTTACCAGAACTGATGCTGAAAAAACAGTGCAGTAAAGTTTGGATTAATGAGTGGTTTTATTTTTCCACTATCACCTCACCACTGCGTTTCTCTCTAACTGCCCTACACTAAGACTATACTGCATGTTATTCAGGTTGAACGGCACATTCACTGATTACGTCAGCTCCATGAAGTAAAAGGGAGGTAACGCGTCAAGAGTCTGCAGTATCAATAGAAAATACCGGACATGCCCTGTGAGGAATGAAAGCCCCTCTGTCTGTGGACATGGGAAATGCTTTTACTGAGTAGTTGAAAACCAATGAGTCATTCATCTGTGATTCTTTTCCATTTGTTTTTTTTCCATCTTACCAAATATCTCAACGTATTCTCTGTGTGTGTGTGTGTCTGTTGGTATGAGTGGGAACAGTGTATATAGGGTAATACAGTGGATGCTGTGACTGTTACTGTAGAAATCCTTTCATTTCTGTATCTACGTCTGGGTCAGGTTTATCTTTTATAAATGGGAATCAAACCACCAAGGACCATGAGTTGGAGTGTTCCTCATTCTGGACCTAATTGTAGGCAGTTGGCCCATTGACTGATGGAGCCATTTCAAAGTCCCATGCTCATTAGACCTCATGTTAAAGATGTGTGTACCAGGTCAACTATAGAACGGATGAATGTATTTTTCATTTATGCCTTTAATTCAGTCCAGTTCATCATCTGGTTTTCTATCTTCAGGTGTTGCAGTATATTTTGATAGACGTTTAGAACTTGAATCTTATTGTCTTTGTTTCTGTGAATTTTTGTGACCCAGCTTCAGTAGTAGAGTATAAACAAATGAGCGTGCCCATGACAATGTGACATCATGTCTTCCTCACCAAGCCCAAAGCATGACTTTGTTATCCAACTCCTGTCAAACAGCTGATGACCACACTGCTTACGTCTCTCAACTTTCCTCTGCTGTGACATTTACAAAGTCAAATACTCAGTTTCCAACTGAACCCTCGTTGTAAAGTGTTCACAGGACCTCAGCTCTGGCTGCGGAACCTCACAACTAAAAAGCTTGTTTATTAGCTGAGCTGACGTTGGCAGTCTGGTAGTGACGGCCCAGAGAAGAAAAGAGGTGAACATTTATTGCATTTTCCAGCCACCTACCTATGAACACAAGGTGGCATTTTGAGCCATGGTAAAATGCAGGATGTGTTCTTTTATCATTCTCAGCATTTCTCTGATCCCACACACATCAGTGCAAGACTAATATTTGCTCTGCTGTCTAAGATGCGCCTGTGAGTAAGTTCCGAAAGAAAAGAAAACCCACCACACTGTCATAGACACAGGGAGAAATCCACTTCATACATATTCTGGGACTCTGATCATCCGCCTGTGATTCATTTTGATATTACTTTGTGAAGACCTGCCTAGAATTGAGTCATTTTTTTATTTTAAGGCTGTTGCTTGGATATGCTGAAACCAACACTAATATGGATGTATTTATGAATCCTGTCTTGCCCAGGGGTACACTGGCATGTAGCCTAAACCAGGAAGCAAGGCGGCATTTATTTTTTGACTATGTTTCAAAATATTGAAGTATAAAACAACAAGGCTTTTGACTTGACAAATTCAAAGCTGCTGTTTTCATTGCTTCATTTACTGTGAAATATTAACCAAAATGTCAGTTATGAATTTTTGTCAGTTATAAATGCTCTGGGTAGTTAGTGTAATTCATTAAATTAGCTAATTCTACCTCAAATAAAAACAAAAAACAAAAAACAAGATCTGTGTTTTCAAATGTCGATACTGCATCAAAGTCATTAAATATTTCTCTGTACAAAGAGGTAATTCATTTAAACTGTTTCAGTCATGGTGGGCCTGGCAGAAATATTTAGTCTTTAGTAGACGGACAGTAATTAAACTCTGCTCCTGCTCTCACAGTGCATCCACGCAGACAGCACCAGCCAAAAATATTTCCCCATTTCTTCAGCTAGCCAACCAAAACCTTCTTGTTGCCTTCTGTTTAGTCATTGAGCAGACCCTCCACTCGCTTCTTTGCATCTTTCAAATTTCAGCCACTTCATAATGTGCAGGACAGGTCAAACCAATCGGCCCCTCTCCTCACAGTGTGCCCATTCAGTCAGTGGGATGGCTTCGGCTCCCCTGTTCGGTTACTGTGGTATGTTCCACTCCCAGCAGAGACGCAGGGCAATAAGGCCTTGGTCTGTTCCAGCAACGGACAAGGGCTGGGTCTGGGAGGGGTGCAGCCCTGCCAAGGTAAACACAGGGCGGGCATCCAGGGGAGGCCCCCCTTCACCACCTCCACCTCAATACCTTTCCCCTCCACCCACCCTGCTGCCACCCTCATGAGTCCCTGAGTAACAGAACAGAGTCCACATTGATAGGTTCACACACAGACTAACATAGATCACGAGGGGGATGTGTGGCAGCGCACGTCTAAAACCTTCTGGTAAAGGCAGAAGGTGTGCACATATATCAGTATTGACACATACTGTAAGGTCTGTGTCAGGGAACACACACACACTCATACAGACACACACACTCATACAGACCCACTGCATTAGTTAGACAGGGAAAATCACAGTCACAGTAGTTTTATGAAATCATTCATACATGTCTTCTTACTCATCACCCTGAGTTTAAGGACAACCTGTAGCCCTGTGTGTGCATTGCCCACTTACATAAATAGAACATTCACATTAAATGGTAGATTTTCTCTTTGTTCTGTCCTAAACTTAGCATTCAACTCAATGACTCACCTGTTACATACAAATATAATGGCTTATTAATTACATTTTTAAATTCAGCCAGAACCTAATAACCACTTGCTTTCTAGCTGCCAACTGTATTTTTCTTCCTGTCACCTTAGAATTATAATTCACAGTGTGCACTCTCACAGCCCGATGTTACCATAGTTACAGGTTATCCCTCAAATACAGAACCTTTTTTTTCTATTATGCATCATTCCCCCATGTTAGTGACTGCAGTGAGAATGTTTGAAAAAAAAAAGTCATAATTATCCCCTGTCCCCAGTCTTTAAGATCACATTAAATTTAACGGGATTTCAACATGTGGCTGAAACTTTACGGTAGTATCAGATAAATCTGATTAATCGAGAGATAATGACACAACAGGTAAATACATTTTCTTTAAAAAAGTTTGCTTGAGCTTGTCTGGCCTGAGCAAATATTTAAACATATAAATATATTTAAAAAAATATTTATTCTATTGGTTATTCAGTGTCGCTATCTTCATTTTAGATTTTAGTAATGAAGAATTTCAAGATATTCTGTATTGTTTGACACAAATTCTCAATAGTTTTTACATTTTCCTTACATTTAAGCCACATTCACTTATATTTATACTATTGTCATGGCAAAGTTTACAGTGTCTTATATTGAGAATTAGAAGAAAATGAAGTTAATCCATTGCGCATATAAAGTGGCAAATTAAGAAGTACATGTCTGATTATAAAACTGAAAAAGTCAAATGTAGCATTCATACTTTGGATTTATTCTAATTGCGTCCACAATGATTATTAGTTCAACACTGATTGTAAAAAGAAATCAAAGTTACCTTCAGTCTCATATGTGAGTACCTGAATCAATATCTGTCCCTGGAGCAGAGCATAAAGGTGAAGCAGAGAATTCCCTAAAACCCCTTCACAGTATTCCTTGTTAGTGACTCCAGGAGTTAGTTGTGAACGTACCGTTGATGCTCCGAAGCTCCCAGTGGCAGTGACTCCAGGGGCCTCTTGCTCCTGCCTGTGTAGGAGAGCAGAAAGAAGCTTTATTCAAACTCCACCACACATTTAGATGTTGGATTGAGATGGAGGGAGGGAGGGAGGGAAGAAGAGGAAGAGCTACTGGGAGACAGAGAGAGAGAGAGAGAGAGAGAGGGGGAGAGAGAGAGAGAGAGAGGAGAGGTCCAGTCCTGCCAGTTGATGAGGTCATACAAACTGCCATGAGACTCAGAAGACAGAACCAGGACAGAATCAGAGAATCAAAAAAGTGAATCAGATCATTTCACTGCTTTTACAGGATTTTCTTAAAAACTGGTTTGAATGAAGGTTGTTTCTGTGATGCAACATCAACAAGAAGGAGTGGAAACTGTAAGTCCACAAGGTTAGCTTCAGCATGACCCACTGTGACATGTGGGCTAAAAAAAAATTCACCTGACAAGGAAACGGTGTCCACGTTGTTAAAATTTGAACTTTCAATCTGTTCATATCCAGTTGGGCTGCCGTAGCAAATATTACTGCCATATTTATGCTGTAGGATTTCAAATTCCAAATTAGGTGAGTGTCAAAAACAATTGAAAGTTGTGTTAGGAGTTAGCATTAGGATGCTAGCTCAGAAAAAGGTGCCATAACTCATAAAGTGAGTATTTTTTCTATTATGATATCAGAGAGACCAAATGTATTGAGCATGTTTTAATATACATACAATTCTGGTTTATTAACATATACTATAATTATTACGTTTAAAGGGTAAAGCTTTTATAATTGAAGGAAAAAGTGGCCAGATATTTCCTTTGATAGGTAGCCTTGGTGACCCCTGGTGTAGACATACTGTTTTACCAACTCCAGCAGCTTTTGGCTGCTGATCTCTATGTGCTTTCAGTTTAAAGTCAAACATGCTAATGTTGGCTTGAGGTCGAGGACAGGCGTGTCTCTCGTCCATCTTCCACCAAACTCTATTCAGAGGTGTAAATACTCTCAGTGTACTCACTGAATCGCACTCACGTTCCACATCTTCAAGGGAAAGTGTATTAAGAGCTGATTCACGCGCTAATTCTGTTCTTATTTGCAAATGCACTGTTTATTCGGCAGTTGCACAGGAATGAAATAGAAACATCATGGTTTGCTCACCATCACTCATGTCAATCAGCTGTTGCTGGAGAGAGTCTCTCAAAGAGCGGCACAGAGAGTCAGATGCCGCAACATTTTTATACCGCACCACCTCCTTACATCAACTTTATAGATTTATGCTGCAGCTTTTTTTGCACCCTTAATGTTTTCCTGATAATAGATCTCAATGTGGAGGAAAAGGAATGTTCTATTGACATTCCTTTGCATATTTATAGTTTTATGTCCTCTACTGTACAACCACAGAATTCTATTGTTGGCAGCTGAGTTCCCCTTGGAGAAATATGTAGAGAAAATTAACTTCAGCAGCTGTTTGTAATGTCACTGTCCAAACCTTTAAACTAGCGATATTGACTTATTAATCTATATCAGTAGGCAGACGGCAACAAGTTTCGTGTGTTAATCCTATTAAAAAGTCACTTCACGTGGCTGCTAGTGTGAACTTAAACCGTCTGTGAGACAAACTGGTCAACTTTCCAAAACATATGCCTATTGGAGTTCATTATGGAAACACTGTGCCCTCACATGTCTCTCACACTGGAAACTCTATTCATTTCTGCCTAAATATGTCAGATGTCAGTGTTTCAACAATGAGGATATTTCTTTGTAAGACAGTAAAGCATCTTCAGATGTTTTTATTAAAATGCCTTAATCACAGGAGTCGACCATGCTCCTGATAAAATTCCACCAATCTGCTCACACATGTCTGGACGAACAGGCTTGACTACGAGTACTGTAGTATTCCTGTTGTTACACTCTGTCAGGCTTTATTTGGACTACATCCCTGGAAAATCTAAATGGGATTAAAGTGGCAACATTGTTTGGGCCACATTTAGTTACCATCCGCCCTTTATTGCCACATACAGTGTATGTATACTGTAAACACACGGTATAGTTTCAAGATAGACATCGTCGTCTTCTCTGTGCTGTCTCTCAACCAGACCACAAACATTCTCTCTCAGAGGAATTTGAAGATCTGAAAAAAAATATCCTTATGTTCTGTGTTTAGAAGCAGGAAATGTATTTGTTATTTTGTTATTGACCTGACATCACACTGAGGTTGTTAAAAGTGTCAAGAGAATGGGCTTCATGTGTTGGAGCCACACACACAAAGCGTCTCTTCAGACAGACAGGTGGTGTGTTTTCACCGTGTGGCTCTTGAAGAGATTATTTGTATGAACATGAAGTGGAACTGACTCAGAAAATGAAAATTATTCCATTCTAAATGTGTGTGATATCCTGTTACCTAGTGGTACACACACGATGAATACCACTCTGTTCTGAAAGGTTTGATTTTACATATTAATGAACTGGAGATGAGTTGAGTCCTGTTTATCTGAAGCAGTTTATTGAAAGTGTCTGTTTGTCTCTTTGTCCAAACACCTAAAACTCTGCTGGTATTGAATGGTTTGTGCTAATTAGCAGTCCCTGTGAGTTCAGACCTGACTTGCAAGTTGAAGCAATGCAGTGTGTGACGGAGTCTGTCTGAAAGACCTCTCAGAGTGGACGAGGGAGGTCAACACAGAGACACTTGTTTTCGCCTCTCTGGCTCAAATTATCCAAATATGAGAAGCCACATGCTGGAAACAAGCAGGAATATTGCTGACACAGAGAGTCGGGAGGGATGGACTGGAAGCAGACTGAGGCTTTTTTCTTCAGGGTGACAAATTTCAAGCACAGGAAAAGTGCTGAGGCGTCTCCCTGGCTCGAGGGGTTGATGCACTTTCTGTTTAAATGCACGTCAAGACAGCACACTCATTTGCATGGCGTGCAATGACACAAAAGTGACTGAACAAATTGTTACATCACATGCCAAGGAGCTCACTCACTTTGGTTTGGTTTAAAGTTTGTACAGTAGGAAGCAATGTTCTTTGATTGAATTTTTTTCAATTGAAAGATGATCTTGATCAGGGAACCTTAGCAGCATGGTTCAGGATTAGGCTGAGGATTAGCCCTCTCTTAATGCTATAAAGCTGGTAGGGTTCACATGGGTACATAAAAGGAGCTAATGTCACACAGACAGACCCTCAGTTACAGCACAGTGATTGTGTAACTGTAGGTCAAGGGTCAGTGACCTTCATGAAAAGAGACATTTTTATCATTTAACCTGCAAATGAAATTGTTTATGTGTTATTGTTGGGGATGTCTGATATTAACCTTTTGCCGATATCCGATATGCCGATACTGTCTGAACACTTAATTTCCAATTCCGATATCAACCGATACCGATATTGGCTTGGCAAAAATAATTTATTTATCTGTACAAACCACTGAATTAGTATGAGATTAGTTAAATAAACTACAATGCTGCCATCTAGTGACTTTGCAATATCAGGTTTTCATTATTGGAGGAAAAACCAACAACGATTCTTACAGATATTACATAATATGCTAATATCGGGCCGATAAAATTGGTTAGCTGATATTGTCAGACATCCCTTATTATTAAAGTAATTTAAATATTGGAAAAGGTGAACCAGAGGAGACACGCAATGGACACATGGCCACTCAGTGGAGTCATTTAAATCATCTACATTCAGTAACTGCACATGATGAGGAAAACTTTCCTGTTTTCTATTTGAGTAAGAGGCTAAAGTAGGAACAACAAATCCCGCTACCGTCCTCTGTGCTCTGTAGGTGGATATACTTATTATTTACATGGTCACTTTTACTCTAATTCCTTTGTTTGTCTGTCCTTATTTGAAATCAACATGAAAGATGAAACCCAATGTGACCATACATAATAGTTCCCTTTAAACTCAATTAGTTCCTGGCTAAACAAAGTAAACAGGGAGGGGGAAGACGCAATATTTTCAAAGCATTACATAATTTTACCCGAATAAGATGTTTTGGTGGTCAGAGGAAGAGGATGAAAAGAGGGAGGGGAGACGTGGGTCTTGGTTTTCAGTTAACACTACTTTTTTATACTGCAGTACAGACCAGCTTCTCATGTACTGCTGCATGATGGGACAGAGTCACTCAGCCACACTGGACAGTCTGAGAGACAGAGCGTGGAGTTGTGATGACTGGGATAAAAACTGGGAAGTCAGAAGAGACTGTGGAAATATGGGGATCTGTGAAAATATGTTGTCATACATGCCATGACTGTGTGTGGCTTCTGTCCCTCACAAACGAATTTTCCTAAAGCAGGGGTCCCGAACTCCCTGCTTTTCACCACCTTTTCAGCAGAGAGAGAGCCAAAAAAATCACATATTTTAAAATATATTTCCGTGAGAGCCATACAATATTTTTGTTGCTCTGAATACAACTTAATGTGTGAATTTTTAAACAAGACCAATAAATTAAGACAAAAAAAGTGGCTAAATAAAACCTCATATTTCAACACTTGTAAAATTATAAAGCCTGGAAAGCTGCTGGGATGTGTTTTACATTAAAATCAGGCAACATCTTAAACAATGACTGTCATTTGATCAGGCTGTTTCATATATTTGAATTTGGCTGTGCTCTCAAACCCCCAAAGCCTAGATTATTTATTTTTTTGTGTGTCCAGTATATGTCACTTTCGGAACACTGTGTAGTATTTAGCAACATCTAGTGGAAAGATTTAATGCTGCAGTTGTGTATCTCCCAACTCATGATTACCCCCTTTTCCAAGTCCACGCTGACAAAAAATAACTGGTTAAAATAATTGTTACATCACTGCAAATAAGACCTTGAACATGAAATAATTTCATCTGAAAACCTGGTTGTAATAACCCCCTTTCACCACTAAGGGGCAGTGATTACGAGGTATGAATAAGAAACACAGTTTCTTTAAAAAAAGAGAAAGGTGAACAGAAAAAAAAGGAAGGAAGCGGTAACAGCAGCAACGGCAGCAGCAGCAGCAGCAGTAGTAGTGGAGCTGACCGGACGTGAACTTCATCGAGCTGCTCACAACTATTGCTGGAATATACAGAGAATTACGACTGAACTCAAGAAAAGTAAAGTTCCCGTAAGAGTTTAAGAGCTGGCAACTATGTTTTAAAGAAGGTGGCTCTTCCGCCGGTGAGTCTCCTCCATTTCAACACTTGTGTTTTGTGTTCCCGGTGAAGCGAAAGCAGAGACCTTAACTGACGTAAAAAGCACTTTAACGTTTGTAAACGGAAACGTTTGTGCGCGAGATGTGTGTAGTTAACGGCCACTGATTCACTCTTGTGTTTGTTATTGTTGGGTGTGTATTTGTTTTAAAACCCGACCTCTTCCTTCTCCTCCTCCTGTGTGAGTGTGCGTGACTTTCCCATTCATAGTATATTCGTGACTCACAACAATAACTAAACAAAGTTGGAACATTTTATGTTGAATACAGAGAAAACAAACGACCACAAAGATAAAGGTGGAACGTTCAAAAAGTCACTTAAAATTAGAAGATAGGCTCATATAAAATGAATTATTGATCAGAATCAAAATTAACAACAAGAATTTATACTACGAAGAACCAATCTTCACAACAAAAGTTCAAAAAATATATAAAAATATATAACAAGAGTTGAATAACTGTTAATCCACTTGTTGTTCCTCCAGTAAGTGGCCAAACAACTTATTACTTTTAACATGCAGTAAGATTTGAAACAGTTTGTGACTAATAATGTGTTAAAGTCAGTCTTTTTTACCTTTTTCGATTGAAATGGGTCTCGTAAACTAACACATGGAACTTACAGTAAATAACTTTGGTTTACTGCACACAGAATAATACTTATTATTATATAATATAGTACTATTGTTTTGTAGTCTAAATTTGGCCTTCTTTCCAAGAAACAACAAACAAATATTAAACCACTCAATATGAAAACTATATGGTTAAACAAGTTGAGAGAATGAGATTTTTCTTTGAATTTTTGCAAGTTTGAATTAAATAACTCAACGTTTTGCACTATAAGCCATAGATCAGCCTCCAGTTTGTCATATACATTCAATTTAAACTATATTAAAATATTTTCTGGTCATTTTACTGATCATTTGTGTTCCAAGCTTGTTACCTTTACACTTTACTGCTGTACATTTAATTTTTCAGTTGCTGAGGTGCGAGGCCAGGTTCTCCCAGAGGACTCATTAAATTTAAATTTGACTGTGACCCAGAAAGCTCCACCCTTTATCATTAGTTTTATCTGAAGCTGTAATGCAGAAGGATTAGGTCAGGTGTCTTTAAGAATTCTTTAAATCAACTCATACACATTGTGCCGTGGCATTGTCTTCTGTGCAGGAAGAGAGGGTTTGTTCTTGTTAAAAGGGAAATTCTTTTTGTCTTTTTCAAAAACACTGCAAGCAGCGTGTTCATTACACTGAGTGTTGAGTGCATAATGAATTTATAAGCTTGCAGAAGCAGCTGTAACTGTTGCCCTGCTGTTAGTTGTGCCCTGGTAACACCATTATCCTGCATCATGATATCAGTACAAGCTAATAATCTTTTTTTTATTATTGTTGGACTCCAGTCTCAAACTTTGTTCACTTTAGTGCTATCTGACATTGGATAATAATTATTAGCTATTATTATTATTAATAATTAAATATTTTATCATACTTATCGACCATTGTCTGTTCTAAAGGGTAATTGTCAGTTTTGTTGAAATGGCCACAGTCTTATGTTTGATTCAGATTTCTTTTACACATAGGTGTTTATTATCATAAGCACATCATGCAGTGGTTCAATAATTCTCCATCCAGTCTGTAAAACCATCGCTGCAACAAATCCTTGCTTTTTCACTGAGTGCGCCATGAATCCTGTTATTGACAGTGTGATGGTGTAAAAACTGTGGGTGAAGATGATCTAATGACTCCTCCCCTTCATAAAACACATCCCAGGCTTCATGTGACAGACAGTCTCAAAGGTTAATAGGTTTTTTATTGATGTTGTGTTAACCATGTCGGCCCTGCAGTGATGTCAGAGGTGACTCATCCTCCAGGAAGGACCTGCTGCAGGTGACAACAAAGGAAATTTTGTTTTTTAATCAGCCTTATTGTTTTCCAAAGGAGACTAAATGCTTTTATTCAGCCACTGGTGGAGAGGTTAGTTTTAGTGTTAGACCGTCTGCTTCCTCTGTCTGCCTGCTCTGAATCATTCACCCTTAAATGTGGGACTCTCACATTGATTGCACACTCCATGTTTAAGATTATATATTTCTATTTTTAGCAGTGGTTATTTTTAGGAAACATTGAAGTGTCTGCAAGTCTAAAACTGAGGCTAATCTGCAGTTCTCAGACTGGTGATTAGTCCAAAAAGAACCAGCTAATTTTAGGTTGCACAGCCAATGTCAACGTGGGTGTTTAAACTTTGTTGTTTGTCCTTTTTTAAAACCCGTATGACCATTGTGGTTTGTTATCTGTTTTCACTTGTGCTGCTGCTTGTAGTAATACAATGGTGCTTGTTAAAACATCCTAATTCAAATACTTGATGTGGATAACATTCAATAGGAGAAGTGTTTGGCAGGTTAGCCTTTCAGAAAAGAGATCACTTGTTCAATCCTTGTTTTTTCTCTCTCGTTTATCTTGAAGTTTTCTCCCACAGTCCAAAAGTTGTAAGTTAGATTATCTGTATGATCTACTTCCCAGTAGCTAAAGTTGAATGCTTTCCTTGCCTGCATGCAAATCATGAATCAGAAGAATGTATTCTCTGAGGAAACCCTCTTGCAGGAAAGACTAAACATGGAAATGTATGTGTCTTGGTTTTCCAGCCAGTCATGAGACCCAAGCTCAATGCTGAATGTCACTTTGATCACTGCATAGTTGAATGCTGTTTTTTCACGGTGTCACCATTCCAGTGCGTTCCACTTGTCGTGCAGTTTTGGTTTGGCCTGCCAGCTAAAGCGGAGGTCAAGTTGCAGATATTTATTTATGACTGCATTTCCACAAGGGCTCTTCAGGCAGTACCACCTGTCATCACATCTTAAGTTAGTAATGGTCAGTTGTGTTTGTCATAGACAAAGACAGTTATTTCTGGGTGTCAAGGTTACTCCAGGTTATTGGTGAATGTGAGATGGGATATGTTCAGATGCAAAGTCTGGGTCTAAGGAAAACCTTTGGCTCTTAAGTTGCCCTTTTGGCAGTGGAAGCAACTTAATTTTCTGAGCAGCATGGTAGCTCAGGAACTTGTAGACTGACATTGAGTAATCACATGACCTGCCCATCTGTTTCTGGAACCTTTTTCCCTCAAGTCAGCTGTTTTGTGTTTGAAGTAGGGCCTGGTTGCTGCTGCTGCTGCTGGTGTCATCAGTTGCCTTTGCAGGCCCTGTATTGGACTGCACTGATGAGTGACATGTAAACCAGTCTTGGCTCAGTCAACTGTTTTGTGGACATGTAACTGTATAGTAACACGTTTCTGCCTAGTTATTTGGCTCAGGTAAATAGCATTTACTGTTTTAAGTGTTTTTTCTCTTTTTCAAATTAAGCAAGTCATTTGCAACCAAAAAACACAACTTATTTTTATTAAGGTGTTTAGGTTGAAATACTTTAAATTGTGTTTAGTAGAGGGTTAAATGACTGTGTAAATCATCTGTTGTCTGTGTAGATATTTGGGTCACTTCAGTAGAAACACTTTATATCAAATTGCTTGCTTACACTGAAGTTTTTATTTGCAAGACAATGAACTTCTTTTTTAGAAACATCTCAATCACAGTCTCTTCCTATGTTTTTTGTTTAGATTAGAATTTTAGTTTGGATAAGATTGAGGTGTGGCATAATGATAATAAATGTACAGGAGAGTTGGCTATTTAAGTCTTTAGCTAATTGCTACTTGTAGACGATTATTTGTTAATTAACTCAACTCTAAATCAGGTCATGAAACAAGGAATACTGTGACAGGTATCAAATGAAAACATTTTGAACTAGGTTGTTTGGTGCACACACAAAATAGTCACTTCATTATAATTGAAAAGCAAATAAAGTGATGACATTTCAAAAAGCTTAGTTCAGAAACTTGCCTTTAATAAAACAATTTGGAGCATTTAAAAGTCATCAAAAATAGTTGATGACTAATAGGTCAGTTAGTCATCATTCTACCAAACACCTGAAATAGATCCAGTTGTTTATCAGAATGGAACAAGTTAGAATAGAATGTAGGTTCCGTACTTGAGATTTCCAGGTATTAGTTTTCGCTTACTTCTACCATATCCCTTTTTGGGAATGTTGATTTTAAAAGGATAGCTGAGAAAAACATTCTTAAAGCTGTGATCATAATATTACTGTATGTATCTGTAGATTACCTGTAGAAACCCACAGGGCAACATAATACATGTATTGTATGCCCAAAAAGGTAAAACCTTGTCAGTTGAAGTTGAATTATAGGCGTAAATGCTAAACCAACTTGATGTGAACCACTGGACAAAGACTCTCTTAGGTCTTGTTGCCATAGCAGCATCAAACATCTCCTTAGCTGATGTTTGTACGCTAACATATTTGAGATGTTGCTGTGTCAATGAGTGCTAGTTTACATTGGCAGATAAACAATTTCAGGAGCTGATACCCAGACTTAAGCCCACTAGCATTTTACATGTAAAAACATTTTGGTGAACTGTCCCTTTTTTATTTTTTATTTTAGTCATTAACACTAATGGGATGTAACTAATTATCCCTGTTTGTAAAACATATAAGCAGTTAAACTCCTCTATCAGGTATAAATATTTCAACATTTATTGTGTGTGTGGTTTCATTTGTCATGTTTGGGTGAACATGGTTAGAATACACAATGCAAAGTATTGCTTTCTTCTCTAGTGGCTGAACCAGTTTCTCTCTGTTTTTGTCTTCTATTTGCAGCTGGAAAAGTTCAGCGTAGTCGATGGTCAGTATGTTTTGCTGCATAAAGAAGTGTCTTCAGACAGGGACATGGTTTTAACCAGGATCCTGACAATCTACCTCTACCTCTAAGTGTGGTGTCTACACCCTCAGTTTTCCCTCATAGGACTATCAAAGACTCCCTTTTTACCTCAGCACGTACTGTACTCTCACAGAGCTGTTATCAGCCAGCTCAAAGTCAATTGGCCCCTTGCTTTATCACTGCTGTTCTCAGGTGCCAATTCTCCATTGATATCACTATCTGGCCATGCACTGGGAGGAGCTGCCTGAAGCAACAATGTCACATGTACAATTTTGATGTGTGAACCCTGCAGCGAAGCAGGGGAAGGACAGGAGTTTGGTGACGAAGACGTTCCTTTTTTTGTTGTTGGTCGTGGACATGACAAGTGGGATTTTGTTCAAATGGAGCCAGACATAAAGCACGAGATGTGTCCAGAGGAAGAAATGGAGGAGGATGAAGATGAGTCGGTAAGTCACCAGGATCAAAGGTTGACATGAATGTAATCAAGTGAACCATGTACTTATTGTTTCTCTAGGCAGCAAGATTGGTCTTTGTTTTGATCATGTCAGTTTAAAATGTCAAATGTGTTGTTAACCTAAACCTTTAAGGGCATTTATTTAGTTTTTAGACTGTTTAATTTTATAATTTGAACTTCTTCCTGGTTATTATGAATAAAACCATGAAAAAGACACAGACACTAAATGAGGAACCTACAGCATTAGTCAGTTTTATGAAATGGACATTCGATAGTCTGCACATTTTTAGAAGTCGAGTTTTATTTGGAATTGTACAGGGGCATAAAGATTTACTCTGTTAATTGTTAAAGAGAAATACATATGCTTTATGGTAGAAATACTGCTCATAGTTGAAGACTTCATTGTCATTTTAATAATCATAAAATTTATCTGAGAAATGACAATGTTTTCTTCAGGAAGTATCATCTGTTCAGTTTAATTATTGTTATTTAATTATTATTACCATAAACCACATCTGACATAATGATATGATACCACACCTAAGAAGAATGAAGCGTTCCCAGCTCCAAACTCAGAGTCAAATCCTCAGCAGAAAGCACATCATGAGCAGGGATCATTTTCCAATACAAACCTAAAATGCAGAACACATTTCATTGTGTGCAGTGGTGTGCTGTGATAAGTAATTTACTTATTTGGATTGAAAAAAAAAAACAACTTTACTGTAAAACTCTCTTCTTTTTTACTTATTATAATGTTCTGCCTCAATTGTCCCCAATCATTTTTTTTTATCTCCACCAGCCATCAGAGCGACAGATTGTTGTTGGCATTTGTGCTATGATGAAAAAATCCAAATCCAAGCCCATGACTGAGATTCTGGAGCGCCTTTGTAAGTTTGACTACATAGATGTGGTCATCTTTCCAGAGGAGGTGATCCTGGAGGAACCTGTGGAGAATTGGCCTCGCTGTGATTGTCTCATCTCCTTCCATTCCAAAGGTAAACACCATAAATTATATTTTTGAAAAACCTTTTGAGTGTTATTTACCAATGCCCTAAAATTATTATTTGTTCTAAGGAGTCTGAATTTGGGTTTGTTGTATTTTCTTTTTTCATAAATTCACCTTATGAAATGATAATTCTTTACCTTGGTTTCTGCTGAAAGTTCAAAAATAGGTCAAAAATAATCTTGTAAGTGTAAAGTTCTGTTACATCACACTTTGTACTGAAACACATTCTTTTCCCCATGAATTGAACTCGAACATTTTTTCTTTTGTAATATTTGAATGTATACATTATCTTAAGATTTATCTTTATTTGTTTAGTCAAAAGTAGAATAAGAGCCCATTTTGTTCTGGCTGCACCTTCCAGTAACTGGTTCTCTGTGGCTGTAAGCCAGTTTGAAACACTGTTATGAAAGTAACATGTCATTACTGACATGAACTCAGTAAGAGTGCTTGGTTGCCGTTAGTACCACCATCAAGTGTCATTTTCTAAAATTGCCAAAATAATTACTGATTACTGAAGCTGCACAAAAGGTTTTAAACTCCAGAACACTGTGGTCTTCAAAGATAAAGACCACTGTAGTTGTGATTGATAATGAAAATGCTGGGATGACAGGAACAACAGAATAATCCAGACTAGCTCGGAGTTACATCAGAACAATTCTAATTGATAATCATCTCCCTCCTACTAGTGCCTGACAACAACCCTCAACACGCTGCCATGTTATGCTTGTAAAAAGAATAAAATAAGTACTGAAAGCAGGTGCTCAGATAATGTGTTTTGAATAATTGATTCATCTTCAATTAACCTACTAACTTAATCCTAACTTGATTGTTGCTTAAACTTAAATTATTCACTGCTGTCTGTGGCTTGATGTACACTGTTTAATAATTTGGCTCCTCTTCTAGGTTTCCCTCTAGACAAGGCTGTGGCCTACGCTGAGCTCAGGAATCCACTGCTTATCAATGACCTCAACATGCAGTATTTTATACAGGACAGGTACATTCTAACAAGTACCATACACAAATGCACAGTGGCACATGATGTAGTAGTCTCTTTATATAATTTGAGGATACCAAAAAAATAGTAGGTCTCTTCACCATACAATAGGGTTAAAAAAATGCCACAAGTCACAAACATGCCCACACACATTTACACCTGGTCAATTCTCACAATATGTATTATGATTGAAAGCATTCTTAAATGGCTGCCTGGTTTCCCCATCAGGAGAGAAGTGTACCGGATCCTACAGGAAGAGGGAATCGACCTTCCTCGATACGCAGTGTTGAACCGAGATCCTGACAATCCTGAAGGTGAAAGTTAGATTAGAAACATTGAGACTGTATTTTGTGTTATTTTAAACTTGAAATGCTAATAAGGCTTAAGCCTGTAATAACTATGAAGTGATTTAAGCGCACTATAGAGTCAACTTCAGTATTTTAGCTGCCTGCTGCTGACAATTGTTTATCTAATATAACATTTCTTATTGCAGAGTGTAACCTTGTAGAGGCAGAAGACCATGTCGAGGTGAATGGAGAGGTGTTCCATAAACCCTTTGTAGAGAAACCAGTTTGTGCTGAAGATCACAATGTCTACATTTATTATCCAACATCTGCTGGAGGAGGCAGCCAGAGACTCTTCAGAAAGGTAGATGTTAACAAAAATATCAGTCCTTCAGTCTAAATCAAAATGTTTATTTAAGTGTAAATACCTCTTTGTTGTCATTGTAGATAGGGAGTCGCAGTAGTGTATACTCCCCAGAAAGCAGTGTAAGAAAGACTGGGTCCTACATCTATGAGGAGTTTATGCCCACAGATGGTACTGATGTGAAGGTAAGTTGACCTGACAGCTAAAGGTGGTGTGACCTCATTAAAGACTTTAGGACAATATCTGTATTTTTGATGTCTTGTGTTTTGTTTTACTTGCTTTTTCTGACTGAATTTGTTGTTGATCTGTTCACCCTCTCAGGTTTATACAGTAGGTCCAGACTACGCCCACGCTGAAGCACGAAAGTCTCCTGCATTGGACGGAAAGGTAGAAAGAGACAGTGAGGGCAAGGAGATCCGCTACCCTGTCATGTTGACTGCAATGGAGAAATTAGTGGCCCGCAAAGTCTGTCTGGCTTTTAAGGTGAACTGATGTTATATTCACAGATTAAGTGATCACAAGAAGCAATGGAAAACTGAGTTTTATTTTAATTTTTCTAAATCAGGATTAGTTTGTTTGTGAGCTCTTATATGTTTTGAACAATTTAATGTGGAGATTTTTGGTGTAAAAGGAAAGAAAAAAAAGTATATTTTATTCTATATAAAAGTCTACATTTTCTGCTTCTATCAATTCAATGACCTTATAAATACAGCATGATTACATTAATACAAGTCTTCAGGAATCCAAAAAACCCTAAACATTTTTTCTAAGACTGATTCTTATCACATAATAACAGCACAATACTAATACTGCAAGACAGAAAATATTTTTAAATGCTTGTAATGCATGTCAGTCTAGTAACAATAGACTAAAAAGAAACCACTATTGCACCATTTTGTAGCTAAAAGCCTCAGTCTTTTGGAAGTCTCCAGATTCACTTCTGTCATTTTTGTGCTATTTTTGTGTCATTTCTAGCAAACAGTTTGTGGGTTTGATCTGCTTAGAGCCAATGGTCACTCCTTCGTCTGTGATGTGAACGGTTTCAGCTTTGTTAAAAACTCCATGAAGTACTACGACGACTGTGCCAAAGTCCTTGGGTGAGCCATGTTTGTGCACATAAGAGCTCGGTCTGCTACTGATTACAAAGTGTGGATCTGATATTCATTCAGTTGTGAATAGTGTAGTCAAAATGGCAAATAAAAAGAAAAGAAAATACACAGATAAATGTTTCTGCAGATTTAGTCCAACTGCCCACAAGAATGACTAATTTTGTTTTTACTAATTTTAAAAAATGTTACAAAACATTTATAAACCATCCTAAAACATGCATAATTATAGTTTAAAAAAGCACCTCCCTTTTTGTTATCTCAACTGCCAATGACTGAAGCTGTATGACCACAGAGCTAGGTTTAGTTTGTTTTTAGTTTAACTGTCATGTTAACTTGTTCAGTACCTCACTAGTGACACAACATGGTTTTAAAACGGTCACAGGTACAATTAATGTAAAACGAAATGCAACAGAAAAATATCTACCGAACTGTAAATCCGTAGAATTGATCAAGAAAATAATTTGACATTCCTGTGTGTAAAGGTTTTAATCCAGTCATACACACTGTCATTATTGACGTCATAAATCTCTCTGATTAGATTTAGAATCTTATCTTTAATTTTGTTCTTTGGTCTGGTGATTGAAAATCTCACTGGCATTCTAATCTGACTTGGAATTCGTACCAGCAACAGATTATAATAGATTATTAATTATATGCTCTGGTTCACATTTATAATGCAAAGTTAAATGGTTCTGTGTCTTTACAGGAACATGGTAATGAGGGAGTTAGCCCCACAATTCCACATTCCCTGGTCCATCCCAATGGAGGCCGAAGACATTCCGATTGTCCCAACCACCTCAGGAACCATGTACGTATTATGTAATTGTGAAATGGGGGTTGGTAGATGAACCATTTGATATTAAAATATTAGAACTGATAAACAAGTGCTTAGAAAAAAAAGTTTTCATTTCACAAAAGTAATTTGTTTTTACTAGGGAGGTCTGATATTAATGTTTTTCAGATATCTGATATGCCGATATTGTCCAAACAGTTAATTTCCGATTCTGATACCAACTGATATCTGATACCTAACTGATATCTATATTATATATATATTATTTCTGCCATGTCCCTGTGTTTTTTCATATTTTTGGAGTCTTTATTTTCAACACACATTATCACTATTTTGGTGTCATTGACCCACTGGCCTTATCTGTCTCCCTGACTCTCAGTCTTATACTTAAGATTATGATATGATAGTACCATGATGATTCTGATAATTAGAAATCCAAATCTCCGATTAAGCTCAGAGATTAGATTTGCTGAGGTGGACGGAGAAAACTCAATGTTGGTTTGCATTTTGGTCTTGTTTGCTAAATTATTCAGGATGGAGCTGCGCTGTGTTATTGCCATTATTCGCCACGGAGATCGTACACCAAAGCAAAAAATGAAAATGGAGGTTCGACATCCTCTGTAAGTCTTTGTATGTCTTACGAGGAAGACATCTTCCTCGTGATTATGGCCTCAACTGCCTCCGTTCAAGCACATACTTTTAGTTTATTGGTTAAAGTCTTTTTGTGTTAATTATTATTTCCCCTTCTCTAGGTTTTTTGAGTTGTTTGAGAGACATGGAGGCTACAAGTCTGGAAAGCTGAAGCTTAAAAAGCCTAAACAGCTGCAGGTAAAAATTGAAAAATAGATTAATGTTGATTGTGTTCCACATTATTTGTAGGTTTCACTCCTGTTGTGATATGAGCTTGTACTGCTTGTAAAGGAGTTGTTGTGATATGTGAAGAGTTGCACTTGACTTTGTAATGAAAGGAAATGTTGAAGGAAATGTACAACGATATAAACTAATCTGTGTTTCTATAATTCGTAATAAATATGGAAGAACTGTTTCTTTAGGAAGTTCTAGATATTGCACGCATGCTACTGGTTGAACTGGGCCAACACAACGACTGTGAGATTGAAGAGAAGAAATCTAAACTGGAGCAACTCAAGACTGTCCTGGAGATGTGAGTGATTCACAACCAACACTACATTACCATTTTCAACTACAAATCACTGTATTGGTTTATTGTGTGTATAAGGCAGACATTCAGTGTTTAATCTGAAATACTCTGTAAAAACCAGTTTCTGTCAACTGGTAATTTATCATCTCCATTTTACAATGAAACTTTGGTTCAAGTCTTACTGTCATCCTAGTGTCTGAGGCCAAAGTATATTGACATTTTATTGGGTCTGACATCAAATCTAACAATTTTTAACTTTATTAAATCACAGGTTAATGGTCAGGTATTCACAAGAAGGACTGTTTTGTAATGGGTGACATTTACAAAAGTTAATATTCTTGGTATTTTGGTTTTACTTTTGAGTTGAAATCTAGGGCATGTATCTATGTATCTAGGGCAGTTGAAGGCAAAGTTACATTAATAGTAAAGTATTGGTACTTTGTGTCCGTGTGAAGGCACTCCCTAACTCATACAAACAGATACACCCACATCTTTTGTCTTTGTTTACCCCTGCTGTCCTCATTGACTAGTGGTTGTCTCCTCATCTCTGATTGAAGATAAGCAATTTTTCTTATCTCAACATAAAAATGTAGTCACTTCTTAAACTCACAGACAGTAACGTTGTTAGTGGTCCACTCTACTTCCGTCTAGTGTCTCTAACTCTGCACTTGATCTTCTCCTCACTCTGCTATCCCTCTTGTCTCCTTTCCAACCATCCTTCCTCTGTTCTCTCCTAAAGGGAATCCAGCTTGAATGACACTCAGTATGAACTCTTTTCCTTTTAATTTTAAGAGATCAATTTGCTCCATTTTTTTTCTTTGTGTTCTTTACATTACACACTCTTAGACTGTATGTACAAAATATTAAGAATGTGTTTTGAAAATTGTGATTCACATCAATCACAGCCAGAAAGTTTGAAAATAATTAAACCAAGACAAATTTAAAAAGTACTGAAGGCAAATAAAATACATTTTTGGAATATTCCTAATGTTTTGTACATGTTCTGTGTAATTTCCATTAACCTTCATTCACTCTTAGTTGTTAACACTAGACACAGTAGAAAAATTTTTGGTTTTACTGTGTTTCTCTGTGTGTGAAGGACTGTGTGCTGTGTTTCTCTGTTTGCATGTCATCCACGGATCAGCAGCTCTGGTCAACTAATGTCTTCCTTCCCTTCTTCTTCCTGTCAATATTTACTCCTATTTTTGGTGATTTTATGCTTTCGTCCACGACCGTAATCTGGACATTCTAGGTTAACAAATCTGAAGGGATGTTGCTGAGTTTGTCATGTTTCTCATGTTTGTCAGCAACAACTTGTTGTTCTGTAGATTACTGATATTAAGATTTTGTCTTTTTTTTTAATCAACATTTTTGGAAAATTTGCTGTCAACATTCTCTGAAGCTGGACCTCAACTTTCTGCTAACTAAATTTTAAAGCATATTCGTATTTCTTTTTTTCTTAATTGGGTTAGGGTTAATCACAGCCCCAAGTCTTTGGCCTTAAAGTTGTTTATGTATGGTTCAGGGTCCATCATTCTTTGGCTTTGTGAGGCATCCACACAGCTGCCTGTCCTATCACAGAACACCACGTGGTCATTAGAGAGTTGAGTGTGTCAAATTGTTATGACAACACTGCACAATGTGCAAACTGAGGCTTCTGATTTTGTGTTTGTCTTTTGTTATGATTGTTACCCACACACACAGACACATCTTTACTGTGTCCTCATTAACACACATTAGGACTTCTTCTAAAAAAGATTAAGTATAACACGGCTTTTGGAGAGCTTCTGCAGATTTTCAATAAATTAGATAATTATACTAAATTAATTAATAATCAGCTGTGTGTATGGTCAGTGTGACAGATCGTCACTTTGGCTTTCATTTCACTTGAGGAGTTTCTTTTTCATGGAATGAAAGTCTTATTTTGTGTGCTGTGTATAGATGAGATATATTTGTCCCTTAGGATTTTACTTTCTGTTCATCAAATCCTTTCATTCTCTCCAGGTACGGTCATTTCTCAGGTATCAACAGGAAAGTCCAGCTAACATACCTGCGCAATGGCCAGCCCAAAGCCTCCAGTGAAGAAGAAGGTAAACATGGACATACATTTGTGTTTTTACCAACAATAGCACCTTCTGAGCTGTGTATGTGTACATTGGTGTTGTTTATATGTAAACACCTGCACATACAGGCACACACACACATATATATGTGTGTATATATATATATATATATAAATAAATAAAGAATTACTACACTTCAGACAATAGTGATTTCCCAGTTTTGTCCCAGTGTGAATAACAGATTTACTGCTGTTTGTCCAGATTCTAAGAAGGAGGGTCCTTCTCTGCTGCTGGTGTTGAAATGGGGAGGAGAGCTGACTCCTGCAGGCCGAGTTCAGGCTGAGGAGCTGGGCAGAGCCTTTCGCTGCATGTACCCAGGAGGCCAAGGTACAAATCTGACAAACACCTTTTTTTTTTTTAATATATTTATTCTTCATCCAATTGAATGCATTTGTCCTGGTTTATTGAGAATCTTATGGGGACCTGACAACAGGAAATAAATGCTTCAATAATCCCCCCCATTCAAAAACATTAACTAAGGCTGTAAAATTGACGATTAAATTATTTTTAAATAAAAGAAATAGTTCAAACCACTCTCAGTTGTTTATATTTCTGATACAATTATGTTTAATAAAACCTGCTCTGCTGCTAGGATTTACTATATATTGTCTTATGTCCTCTGAGTACCTCACTGAAAAACTACCACACAAATACTACATCACAGTTCTGTGATCTTCTGTGACCTTCACTGTTGATACCATGAGTCTTTTTAATATAGCTGTGCCTTGGTGTTAGTCAAATAAATGTTTTGATCTCCTCATGCGTTTTCCCACAATGCATGCTACCAACTTTCCAATCTGTCAGAGTGCTCATTTAGATAGACACATTGTCAGATGCTGTTTGCTTCTTTTTCCATTTTATCCACGCCGGTTGTTTTCTCACCTTTTTCCTCTGTCACATTTTTTGTCTATTAACTCTGCTGTTCTCTTCTCACCTGTTGTTGCACTGTGTAAACTACTAGCCAGTAACCGCAGGTCCTTTGGTCGTGACTCCCTCATTGACTCTGGTAAGAGAAGGGTCACATGGAAATCACTGATCTTCCACATCTCTTCGTCGTTCTGCGCGTTGTGCTGCTCCGCTCACTAACGTCCTCTGATTTTTATTTTCCCCTCTTACCATGATTTTGATTCTTGTCACAGGGCAACTAGTAATGTTTGTCAGTTTTCAGCTATAAAGGTTTTTCTGTACTGTTTGTATCATTGATACAGGCCAGTTGCTTGTTCAGGCTTGTTCAGAGTACAAGTGAAATTACTGCTGTATTGGTGATGTGGAGTAAACACTAGATGTCCTGCATTGTTATCAAATTGAATGATTCTAGACTTAATCCAGTCTAGTTTATCAATCCTAAAAAATCTTTCGGTTCCACAAAGTCATTATTAGAATATCATCAGGTAAAATTTGGCTGTACAAAGAAATGCATGAAGCCTAAGTGGGATTTGCTTTGCATCATTAATAAAGATGCTGCAGCTGCGCCAGTTTGAATATATTCAGCATGTTGGAAGTAGTTTATTGTTCGTGTTGTTTATGATCTGATCTGTGATAAAACTCAGTATCAGTAATCTGGATTATCTAACATTTATTCACTTTCATTTCATCTCTATGACCTCAAACCATGCAGTTTAAGACATATGAGCTGTGGAAATGTATAAAAATGATATTGAGGGAAACTATTTGAACTGAAAGTGAGTGTTGCACTTTCACAAGCTAGTGCTTGTCTGTTTACTTTTAATGAAAACCTTTGGTACTTTGGGGTACAATCAATATTCTGTTGTATTTTTGTTTACATCTTTCATGACGAAACTTTCGACTTGGTCCCTTTAACCATCATTCTCATCTCTGTGTACCATCATATAGGTGACTATGCTGGGTTTCCTGGGTGTGGCCTCCTTCGTCTTCACAGCACTTACCGCCATGACTTGAAGATTTATGCCTCTGACGAAGGCAGGGTGCAGATGACAGCTGCCGCTTTTGCCAAGGTAATTCTGTCTTTAACTATTCTGTATCTGATTTTACTTCTGAGATGTTTTGTCACATCATGGGTACAACATCTTTTCATTCACCACTTGTTCCTTTACTAGAATATAGAAAAATCTCCCTCTGAAAAACTCTTTTGTAACATACATCACTAATTGGTGTCTCTTCAGGGCTTGCTTGCTCTTGAAGGAGAGTTAACGCCAATTTTGGTCCAGATGGTCAAAAGTGCCAACATGAATGGGCTACTGGACAGTGACAGTGACTCATTGACTGACTGCCAGCAGAAGGTGAAAGCCAGACTCCATGAGATCATGCAGAAGGATCAAGATTTTGCATCAGAGAGCTACGAGAAGGTACAGGGCAACCAGAAATTTTGGAATATGACATTTCTAGATATGACTTGATGGCACAAATATGAAAAAAATTAGGTACACTTTTTTGAGATTTACTATCACTTGGTTCCAGTTGGCGCCCACAGGTAGTCATTCACTAGTGAACTCCATGAAAGTCATAGAGAATCCTGTCAAAACCTCTGACAAGGTTTACGCCCTCATCCAGAGTCTTACCACACAGATCAGAAAGAGACTAGAGGACCCTAAGTCTGCAGGTAATGTGATTCCTAGGTATTATTTATCCTACCTTTTGTGTGTGTCACACAGATGCAAGGATTATTCCTTGTAGTGAAAAGATGACATTTTGATGAATGATGATAAATCATTTTGTGCTTTTCTTTTTTCAGACTTGCAGCTTTACCACAGCGAGACATTGGAGCTGATGTTGCAGCGCTGGTCCAAACTAGAGCGAGATTTCCGCATGAAAAATGGTCGATATGACATCAGCAAGATCCCAGATATCTATGACTGTATCAAATATGATACACAGCACAACTCTACTCTTACATTGGAGGACACACTGGAGCTGTTTAGACTGTCTCGTGCCCTTGCTGATATAGTCATACCACAGGTGTTGTAAAAAATATAATTTGTAGCATCCTTGTGTTGTTTTTGTGATTGGCTATTTGCACAACATTGCATTTCAGTGTAATACGTATATTTTCTTCCCTCCTGTCAAACGTATGCATATACATTTTATTATAATATATGCAGGTTTAGAAAGTTATTCACAGGACCTTTTTATTCCCCTTTTTTAATTCTTAACAGGAGTACGGCATCAGCAAAGCTGAGAAGCTGGATATCGCTCAGGCTTATTGTGTTCCTCTGCTGAAGAAAATCCAGTTGGATCTACAGAGGACCCATGAGGACGAGGCTGTTAATAAGCTGCACCCACTGTTAGTATAGTAGCTGAAACAGAAGCACACTCACACACAAGCATGATGACATGCATTTTTGTTTATGATAGTAACTTTATGATGGTCTTTCTGATAAATGAGCTTTTGTATGATTTCCTCCTCAGATATTCCCGGGGTGTGATGTCTCCTGGTCGTCATGTACGCACACGTCTCTACTTTACCAGTGAAAGTCACGTCCACTCTCTGCTCAGCATATTCCGCTACGGAGGACTGCTTGATGTATGCTGTTATCATTATTGTGCCTACTACAGTTGTTTTTTTAGAATAAGATCAGATGTAAAATAGTTTTGCAATTGAATTTGTGTTAGCAACAGTAAGATAAAGGAAATTAAAATTATTTATAAATTCAGCAGGGTTTGTAGGCATTTTTAAAACATTGAGTGCTCGAGATTGAGATATAGTTTGAAAATACATCCATTTTGATTTGTTTACTTATTTGAAACATGTAGTGATGTCATCAGATAAGTGCCACTAATTAGACAGTTGGCTCATATTTGCTTAAAATTACACACTGGTCACTTTTTAAATATGACTCTGCTAATAAACACTTGTTAATTGATACAGAAAATATTTTTTCTTCTGCAAAATTTTATTTAATTCCTTAATGAAAACACTGGTTACTGTAAGTTACCTTTCTTCCACAAAAATGGTATACTGTGTGATTCTCCCAGGAGGAGAAGGACCAGCAGTGGAAACAAGCAATGGACTACCTGAGTGCAGTGACTGAGCTGAACTACATGACCCAGATTGTCATCATGCTTTATGAAGACAACAACAAGGTCAGCCTGCAGAGGTCTTCTCATCCTTTGTTTGATCTGTGGTAATTACTCCTGATGAATATATATATTGTTTATGTGTGTGGGATAAACAGGATCCTTCCTCAGAGGAACGCTTCCATGTTGAGCTTCATTTCAGTCCAGGAGTCAAAGGTTGTGGGGACGATGAGGAAAACATTCCCCTTGGCTTTGGTTTCCGCCCAGCCTCCTCTGAGGTGTTTCAACAAGTGTTTTTTAATTTCTTTAAAACTGTTGATGTACAATTGCACTCACAAGTTCTTTTGTCTTGAGAACTTGATATTTAATTACAAATAGTATCATTTTGTCTGCTGTGACTATTTCAGAATGAAGACAAAAAGCCAAATCAAGGCAGTCTAGAAGACTTGTCTCAGGACCAACCAGATGAGGCACTTCCTCTTTCTGACCCAATCAACATCCAAAAAAAATCTCCTATGATTCGTAACCGGAAGGGAGGCTCCATGGAGGTAAACAAGATCATAGATTATAGATCCCTGACATTTACGATGTTTGACATTGGTGAGACCCGTCGGTGACACCCATGGTCTTATGATTCTTCTCAGGTCCTCTCTGAGACGTTGCCCACCCAGTCCTCTAAAGGCAGCACGTCCCACCGTCTCTTTCCCACGTCTTCACGCCACTCTCCTGAGATCAAACCAAGCAGTGGCCTAGGTGAGCATTTAAATTTCCTTTATATATCTGTGTGTGTTTGGTTGGGAAAGTAAGGAAAAGATACGGGGGAGGGGCACTCATGTCAACAGACACTACCCTCTCATTTATTTCCAGCTGTCATCACCTCAACCCTAGCTCTGACCTCCACCTCACCCTCACGCCCTTTTCAGTGTCTCGTGCTTTTCTTTGTCTGCTCTTCCCTTTCCATCACCCCCACCCACTCTCCATTAGTCACATAGCTTCCACTCAGCTTAGCAGCAGGCAAACAGGCGCAGACCCTATGCCCCTTAGCAGCAGGCAAACAGGCGCAGACCTCAAAATATGTAGGCAAGAGGTTAGAGGCAGAGCCGTACTCATGGCCAAATACAGCCACAGTGTTGAGAGAAGCACTGATATCTTCTCTTGGTGATAAGCTGACAACATTGGACGTGTACTTTAGGTGTTACTACGTACATTACATTATTGGAGTACTGTATTTTATTTTTAATGTCTGCACAGAAATCATGCAGCCAAGAATCTTATGACGATATCAATATCTTAGCACCAGTAGCACCAAGGTCTTATTCAAACTAATTATACACAGGGTATAATGTTTTTTTTATTATTATTTAAATTGATTTTATATATTTCAAAGTTATTCTAAAAAAGGAAAATACCATATTTTAAAATATCTGCGTAAGTTAATTGCTAGTTATACATCAAAACTGTTTTGTCCTGGCTCTCACTTCGTCAATATCATGTCCCAAAAATAACTTCAGGACTAAATTAAACCAGATGACACACAGCTTTAAGTACATTTCATTGGCTATGTAACTTGTAAATACTCTCCATTAAAAAGCCCTGTGATGCTACATGTTGACATCAAGCTCTTTATTAACTTAAATGTGTTAGATTATTTAAATTGATGTATTTAGAAGTATGTAATGCAACCTGATCCTGTGGCGCTATGAACCAGCCAAGAATCACTGTAATGTCTTCCAAAAATTCAAATTTTACTGTATGTAAATGTCACAAGGCATGGATTCTCACTCAACAACCTGCTAACCTACAATTCTTACATATGCATGAATGGTCGTCTGCTAGCACAACCAGAAAGGCAGAGCTCCCTGTTTAAATCATTTATACTGTTACATGTCACATTTGTAGTTAAAAATGTCAACCATTAATGTCATTTTACCCAAAGATAGATGATTTACATTGTTCTTCTGTTACCAATAATGTCCTTAGAAAGAGGAGTAATGGTAATGTTACTTTTTGCAGGCATTTCTTTTTGTTAATTTTAATTGTCTCAGAGAGACTGTATAAAAGGACAATAAGCAAACACATCAGCACGTGTATGTGAGAACAATTAAATCAATCAAGTGTAAACGTTAACATCTATGCTGCCATTCAAAAGGAATGTACGTCTCATAAACGTAATGTCTGGAAAAACCAATTGTTTTTGTGTAACATCGTTGAAGTCCATCTAAATTCTGTAGTTATAAGTTGACACGTCCTTCAGTTTTACCAACAACACTGGCACACAGACAGGCAGCAGGTGTCATGGAGGTGCCCCCCCATCAGCTGCTTGTCATATCTTTGCTCTGTTTTTAGAACATAGTATTTAGGCCCGACTTTGAGGCCCCCTTTATTTTTAAATTTCCTTGAACAAAAGTAAAATGTGTAAGCTGGAGGCTCAGTATCCGATGATCTGACATACTGCGATAAATGCAATATTAATAAAACCTAATTTGAAGCGCAGCTGTTTTGTTTTAGCAGAGATGAGAGCTAATTCGGCTGGAGCATTTGAAGAATCTAGTTTCTATACTAGAAAGAGTTTTAACATTACTGCTGTTTTGTTACTCACCAAACATGTGTTTTGTATATTGTGTCTTTTCCAGTGATATAGCTATACAGCATAGAGAGTTAAGATGCTGTTGTGTAAATCTGATAACTGCCATATAAATAAGTGGAGGGAGTTGTTAAATATTTTTCTTTTTATCAAACTTCTTTCTTTGTATGATTATTGTGATTACTGCTGTTAAGGATTTTGACAACATTGTAAGTAAACAAAGGTGTACACACACACAATTGCCAGAACTGCCTGTAGCCACTGTTTGTTATGGCAATAACGGCATGGTGTGTAATTGAAACTAATGCTCACCCTTAACACCTTCGTCCATTTCCTCAACTCCCTGCACACCTCCTCCACCTGGCTCCTCCTCTTCCTCCTCATCCTCCTTCCCCTCACACAGGCTCGCTCTGCTCTGGCCTCTTCAGTGCCTCGGTCCTCGGCGTGTCCTGCAGTGCCCCCAACCTGCGGGACTATGTCCGCACACACCACCACCATCACCATCGAAAACCACCACTGTCCCCTGGCAGTCTGCCATGTCAGAGTGGCATGTTTGGTACGTTCACGCCACTGTCTTTTCTCCTCCACATGGCGGCTTTCTTTAAATCAAACTGTCCCTTAAGTCTTTTTGGGCTTGGAAACATTTTACTTCTTCTTTGTCGCCCTCCTTTTACTTTCAGCTTCTTTGAGTTATTTTCAAGTTTTTTTTTTGGTTTTCTTTTGGGTGGGGGCACTGTCGCTGTTTCTTGTAACAAGGATCCATCAATATATCTCTCACTTTCTTTTTCGAAACACATTTCAGAATGTTGCAACATTTAAGAGATTAACACCACTGGGTGCATGATGATGTCACAGTTTGCCAAAGAGGGATTGGCTATATGGAAAATGCCGAGCATGCAAAGTTGCATTGCATGGTGTAATGGGTTTCTTTTTCTCCTTAAAAGCATGAGCGCACACTGATTTCTTCTTCTTTTTTTTTTTGCATTTGGTTGTGCATTGTTGATTAAGAATAGATCCTCATGACCATACTAATATAAATTTTTTTTTGCATTTGGTTGTGCATTGTTGTTGCATTTAAAGTTTAAAACTTTAAAATTCTACTGTATCTTAAAATATCCACCCTCCTTCATTGTCTATATTTTATGCTGCATTTGTGACACCACTGAGTCTGTTTTCACCAGCAACCTTAATCAGATTAATTTGTAAATTTTCCCTGACCTCTTGTGGCTTATGATTATAAAAGTCTCAAGTACCTTTTCTAGTAACTTACAGTAAATGTGTGTATACGTTTGTTCCCACTTCTAGTCTTGAAAAAGTAAAAAAAATACATTTGTCCACTAGGTGTCAGTGTGGGTCAGGGCTACAATGCCAGGGGCAAACTGACACTTTGTTTTTAAAGACTACTACTTTATGCTGTTCAGTCAACATAAGAAAGAGAGTGAGGGGGACTTCAGTTGTGGTTTCAATCCAGATCTGAGCTTGAAATGCTGTACTTTCATTTGTACTATGGTTGTTTTTATAAAAACACATTTCCAGAATGATTTTCTGGTATCTAAAAAAACAAATTTCCATTTCTTTACACTGATTTAGGTCATGTGTACAGGAAACCAGATAGGAAAAACATACTCATAAGCGTTATAGGGAATTTCTAAATGTTTTCTCCTTGGTGTAGATAAAAAGTGGATCCTAACCTTAGGGCTGGCAGTCAAAGCTTTGTTGAATGTTGTTGTCATTGCCTATCCACCTCAGGTTGGATGTCAGTAGAGAAAAAGACATTTGAGAGCAAACTACATGAAGTGAAAGTAGACACATGTAAACCAACAATCAGCTTGTGGTTTAGTTGTTGGCAAAGGTTTTTAGCCCCCTTGGCTGTTGTGGCTCAGCTTGTTAAAATACTTGTGGATCACTTGACTCATTGCAGTAAAACAAAAACAAAAAACAACAACTCGCATTTGTGATTAAGAAAACACCAGCGAATATTCTCCTGACTCATCAGTTCATTTTTGTCTGTTTTTTCCCCTGCAGCTACTGTGGAGTTTCATTCTCAGACAAAATGGGCTTTTAGCTGCAAAGTCAGTACCAGCAGAGTCATTGGAGATCAGTATTCAAAACAAAAACCAAAATTAATATTTACATATTCTTAGATCATGGTTGACTTCAAGGATATTTTTTCAAAAATTAAACCTATTTTCTGTGCCATCACACACAAAAAAAGATTTTATGTTAGATCCAAAACTATATATTTTCATTATCTATAAATTTGATTATGATTCATTATTGTAATAAGTAATCTTACAGTTTGCTGTACTCCACAGAAGTAAAAAAAAAAAAAAAAAAGAAGACTGGAATCTCGGACGGTTTCCCGTCACAAACATGGCATCGATCTCCTGCATGATCATTATTAAACCACTATATTGGCACCATCAACTCCACCATCTTCAGTTGTCTTCTCCAGACAGATACAGTAGATAGACAGACATGGATAAATGGACTCTGTGTTTTCTCTCCTCTTCTTCATCTTCACTACCTTTGTCTTCTTCATCATCAACTTTTTGTTCCTCTTTTTTATTTTAACTTATACCAGCAAACAATCAGGCAGAGGGGCAGACACAGGAACCAGCAGTCCCAGTAACACCAGTTACCTCTCTTATCTCCTCAGAGCTGTTCTCTATGCCGGCAGTAAAGAGATTTTCTGTGTCGTTTGCCAGGCATCCGACTAATGGTATGTCTGAATTTATTCAAGTTCATTTCGAAACTCCTCCAGTTTTTCCTTTTCATCTTGCATGGCCTCTTTGGGGGAAGACATTTTTTATGTTTCTATTTTGGGAGTCTGACATTTGCCTGAGATAATTACAGTTTCTCCAGGATGAGAAGACAATTACACTGGTTTCTGTTTCTCCACACTGTTTGTTTTTTAGCCTGTTTTGGTTTTGACACTCGCCTCTAACATCACCTGCACTGCCTGCATTCGTTAAATTAGCTCCTGTAGTTTTGCTGTTACCTCACAGCATGGGTGTATGCACCTAATGAAAGTGCTATATAACGCCTGCCTTATGTGTATATTGTGTGCACAAATCACAGCTTTTTTTTTTTTACTTTTTGTTCATTTTGTCACTCACACATTTATTGTAATAAAATCTTGACCATAGCTGCGAAAACTAACCTGGAATACAGCTTTGAATTTGAATTGAATTTTTAAAGTAAATTCTTTGCTGTGGAAAAAGTTTTAAATAATGAAAAAGTCAATTTTGGGTCCACAAATATGAAAAAGAAAAAAACTGCATACATTTTATTTAGGCCTTGACCCAAAACTTGCAAACAAATGCTGTTGCTGTACGTTGTTAGTCATTGCTATGGACCTAATATTTATTGATTTGAAGCAAATAGTAAACATAGCTTTAAAGGTAAAGAAATCTTTGCTTAAGAATTCTTCTTTTCATTATATATCATTATTTACATATATACTGTATGTGTATATATATAGTTAGTCATAGACCAAAAGTCTTTATCACTTATGGTGAATGCTATTACTATTAACCTCTGATGTTGCTTAAGTCAACCAGTTAGCTCATCATCGTCTCCTTTCTCTCACCAACTGGTAAGTGACACTGTTCATTTTGATTGAGTATTTTCTTTTTCTCCTGACTGTTTTGCCAAGCGTAAGACTTTAATGTTCAACTGCTGGGTATGTTACAGTCCTGGGTGTCACCTCTATTCTACTCCATTTATTCCCACTTCATCCTGTTAAATCGATCTGTGTTTATAGTCTGTGAGAGGGAACACCGAAGTACTATATCAGTATAAAGTACATATATGTATGAGCATGGTATGAAGGTTAACCTGGAGAATTGTGCGAAACTGACTTCATCTACCTGTACCTTGTTAAAAAACAGCAACAGTGTTGCTATGGAAAATAGCTGTAGTGAAGTACACACCCTGTTGTTTGAAGGTCTGATAATCTTTCTGCTGTCTTTGAAAGCTGACTGAGGTTTCATACAGTATAAAACTGTAAAACTGCAGCTTTGTCTCGCTGTCTTTGTTCAGTTACTAATGCCAATCAACCAGTGTACAGTACGTGTTCTGTCTACAACCACTTAAGCACCAGGTGTTTGTTCGTCTGGCATTAGTTCCATCATAGCTTACCTTGCTGTATATACAGTATGCTGTACATTTCTTGAAGGCCTCCTGGATGTTTGATCAGAAACTCCTCATATATATGGAGCCTTTGCAACAGCTTGTTATATTTACCTGAACATTTAGTTTTCTCTCTTTGCTTCCATGTCATTTCTTGACAATTCATGCTTGGCAGAAAACGTGCTCCCCTTGATTCCTGTATGCAGATATTATTTTCATATCCTTTTCTTTTGAAGTAGGAAAATGAGACATCTATAAAATTGCCGGTGCAGGTTTTGTCATGTTTTTCTAGTACTGAGCTAATATTGAGCCGAACTATTGGGACAACCAGCGGCCTCATTGTTTACAAGGTTTTGATTTGATGAGATTCTTGTAAAGGACCATGTGAAAACAATTACAGCTGTACTGTGACTGTTTCTCCACTAGTGACTCTGTGAATCTGTCAGAGCTAAATGACACACTGCCTCTGAAACATGTAACCACTGCAGTAATTATCCACTGGGAGCCTCTTTGTTTCTTTGTTGAGCTGCGGTGGTGACTCTTTAAAAGTGGTAAACAGTTCAGTGACAGTACAGTTTGTATCTCAACTTTTAACACAACTCCATGTTAGGCTGTGTATAATAAGGATTTTTCATCAATGCTTTTAGATGTAATGTATTGTTTCGTGCTGTTTCCTCATCTAGGTAGTGAGGAAATTGGCTTAATACATATATTACATTTTAAAATTCTCTCCTTTTTGAAACTTTTTGTATTAAATTTATGTTTGAGGGTTGTCCTAAACTGAACCCTTTAACTTAACATTAAAGTGAGAAAGAACTCCACTGTAGTCAATAGTCTAAACATCTAACAACTGACAAATGATAACACTTGGTTGTCAAAGTCAGATGTCTGGTCTCACTAATAGAAAGAAATTAAACTTTGCTATGTTGCTTGTAAAACATTGTTGTGTGACCCATTTTGGCTGCTGAAATATGTTTTTGCACTGTTTATAAACTGACACAGTTTCGCCAGCACTTTTCCATGGAGAATACCATACATTTGCTGTCTTTCTTTCTGTCCTGTTTGTGCTGCAGGTTTTGAAGGCTGCTCCATGGTGCCCTCTATCTACCCACTGGAGACACTGCACAACCTGCTCTCACTGAAGCAAGTGGAAGAGTTTCTCAACAAGGTGTGTGAGAGCAGCAGCGAGGCCCATGCCAAAACCATGAAAGGTAGGTCAGGACTGTCTGATTTCTTATGAGGTACAGAAAATGACATCCCTTTAAAGAGTAAATACTTTATTTTATACTATAGATTTAATTGTGGTATTTAGGCATCAGGTTGAAATCCTTGAAAATTACCAATCACTCAGATATAATGACATTCTTGGCTGAGATGGATGTTGTTGTTGTTTTGTCTTGTGGCTGCAGCTCTCTCCAGCCTGTTTGACTCTCAGAGCCAGACGTCTCTGTACGGCCTGCAGCAGACTCTGTCCTCCTCTGAATCAGAAACATCTCTACAGCCTCCAAGTCAGCCTCTGTGGCGTGAGTGTCTTTATAGTGATATAATAATGTACAATACATTCCTCTGACATGTAGTTTTAAAGTATTTATTCTCTAACTTGGGGCTGAAAATGTTCTGAAGTCCACAATTAACCTTAAACACAATCTTGAGGACACTTTCTTTTTGGAATAAAAACACAGAATATGACTTTTACATTTGAGAATTACCCTTTTCAACCAACCTCCTCAGCAGCAATGGAAAGCTCTCATGTGTGAAGATGAGTAACTCGAAAAGACATTGCCAGCTCAGCAAAACCCTGATGGAGATAAATGGAGCACGGTCAGTGTGACCTTCATGTTGAAAGGAGCAGATTTGACCTAATAGATGTTCTGTGATCTCTGATGACCCAGTGCTTACAGATACTGAATCATGAGAGACAAGGTCACACTGTTGGCTAAAAGGCAAACGTCCTTGACCAGAGCACCTACAGTAACTAAGGCCACAGCTGATAACTCCTCTTTATTTTTTAGTATTGGTGCTTATTCATGTTGGTGTAAAACATCTGAGTTCTACATAGTTACCAGAAGAAATGAATCAGAAAACTCACATCACCATTTTTAAAAACACATTCTATTTAGCCTTTGGTATTTGTGCTTCGAGAATAATTTGAAATTGTATCCTGGTTAATTATGAGTTGAACTATGAGTTTTGTCTCACCCAATAGGCTTCTTCAGTTCTAACCAATAGCTGGGAAGTCTATACAGTACATAGATACTGTAAATACAGTATTCTCTATCTGCATGGCTTCTACATGATGTGAATCAATGGAGTGAATTTTAAATTATACTGGTGATGAGTATATGGTTGTTTACTTGTCAAATTATTAATGTGATACATTTCTTTGTTTTTTTTTTTTAGATGGCAGTGTACCCTCCAGTGCTGTATCCAGTGCAGGCCCCTCCTCCCCGGTTACAGAAAACTCTGGCATGAACTTCAGCTTCAGTGAATGAATTGGAGAATAGGTCAGTTTGTCTTTTCCTGTTACACTTTCAGGATCTTTTGCCTTGGGTGTTACAAAAAGTCAGACTGTAATTAAAAACACCTTTAATTGTACATTGGTTCCTGTGGAGCAGCTGGATGATGCAACACCAGCTCTGCTCCCGACAGAGAAGCTTCAGAGGACTTTCCTAAGTTTGTAAAACCCACATCCACAGAAGCTGTGCCTTCAATATAGTTGCCTTTAAAATCCAAAACCCAAATCTGTTTTCATTTGAACCTTCAAGCTGTCACATATTCACAGTTGAGATTTTATCAAGTAACTGTGTCCTATTTTCTACTTCTGACTGTTGCATTACAGCTACACAATCTCAGTCAACTGTAATCTAGACAGGGAATGAAGCTGAGCCTGAAATGTCAGATAAAAAAAAATCCAGGTATGACAAATGTTTTCGATTGTTAAGACTTGAATGTGTTCTTCAAAGTAAAGATGGCACACAGGCATGGACCAGGTATCACTGATTAACATACTGGAATACAGGGGGTGTTAGACACACTAACTCTGACAGTTTCTGCTGGTCCTGAAGCTGAAAACCTGCTGTGTAAGGCTTTAGCACAGGGTTATGACTGGAAAAGGTCGATGTATTTTTCTCAAAATAGCGTTTCACATTTTCATCCCAGTTTGAAAAGATAACTCTGCTTCCTGGACCTTTTTCATGGACCATTTTAAAAATCCAACTGCTGCGTAGCTGGTGTAACATTCAATTACATTTACTGCCTCGTGACGTAGGTGTGTTTTTCTGGAAACAACAGAATTATAGGAGTTGTATTCCTAAATGGGGCTGTAGATGTCCATACAAGTTTTTACTACACTGCTGTGTTGTGACAGGTGGACCTGGTCTGTACTGACCACTGGTTCTAGAACTAAAATGACTCCTAGTGTAAACCAGGGTAAACATAAATGTACTGACCTGCCTGGACCTGCTGAGACACAACAAATGTCTGTATATTTTTGATGCCATTGAGAAATCTTTAACTTTGAATAGTATTAATAACTTTTTAAGTCCATGTGTTTCAATGTAGTAAATTTTACTTGAGTATTTATGTGATTATTTAAAGTGTTATTTAATGCCAACCAAAGACATTTGTGTTTTCTGTGACACGTTCGGTCACTGTAGAACAAAGGCCATATAAATGTGTTTAAGTGATAATTAAAAAAAAAGTTAAAAACAAAAATGAGAATAGTGTGTGTGTGATTCTGGTACAACTACCACGTGTGTTAAGCTGTGGGTGTGTACCTACATTAAAATATCATAGGGAGCATTTCTGCAATTCTGACCTTTAGCCTCTTAGTGGATGGTCAACAGGTCAGGTGACCACACTTACCCATTGGTAGGATGTTGAATTCATCTGGGTCAATCCTCTTCTCTGAATCTCTCTCTAAATGGGTTTAAGAGTTCTGATGACTCACGCCTCCTCTTATTGGTCCTATTTGTTGCCATGGTTGCACCTCCAGATGTAATAGACTCCTTCTGATCATCAGAAGACAGATATGCTGAATCACTGTAGGCCAAATAGCTGATGTCATCCATTTTGTCAGGGTGACCTTTCAGGCTTTGTTTACTACAGTTTTCACAAAACACAATTCATTATCTGTCTGTGTCTATCTGTGTATCTGCAAGTCTCTCTCTCTCTCTTTAAAGGCTTTAAGTCAAACTTCATTTCAGAAAAAAAGTACTTTTTTGTTACGTCAACTTTTGAT